ATTTTGTCTGTTGGATACAAATCGAATCATTTGGAGCCTTAATAATAATTAGTGTTCCATGTCGCAATCCAAAAAAGGAAACCAAGTGGTCGCAACCAGGTGTCGCAAACCATTTTTATATGTCACAAATATGGCGACCAGCATCTATAATAATAATAAATAATAAGATTATTAATCAAAAAAATTATAATGATTAGTTATGAAAAATTTTTTTAATTTATATAACAAAAGATCATTGATGAACCGAACTTGGTCATCAACACTACTAATTTAATTCAGCCTGTTGATTATAAATAATTTTTAATCATTTCTATTATATAAAGACATCTTTTTTCTCTTCCCTTACTGCCTAGCACAAAGATTCAAATGCAATGTACTCATTCACTCACCAATATGATCATTTCCCGGATTCAATCATCTAGTCAAGTATCAAAACTATAAAAATGAATTGATTAAATAAAAATATAATTAATAAAACTCTAATGCATAATTTTTTTGAGTAAATAAATGTTTTGAGAAAGAGGAAAACAAAAATCAGGCATTTTTTTTAAAAAAAATAGTAGACATTCAACATGTTTTGATTCTGTCCGCCCGTCTACAAATTATCATCATTTTAAATCACAACTAATAATTTTCAACTACTACTATCATTAATTAATAATTATCAACAAAACTATCATCTACCAACCTTGTCTTCGATTTTTCAAAAATCTCTATAAAGGAACTAAAGAAATAAATAATAACAATTTTAATAAAATAATTTAAATAAACAATTTTTAGAAAAAAATCATAATAAATTATTAATTATCAGACAAGGCTGAAACTATTATGTTTCAACATATATTTATATTTATTCAGAATATGGGATATAAGTATTTTAAATCATCATTTAAATAATTTATTTTTAAAAAATATTTATTTTTACCTAAAAGCGATTTTTTTAAAAAAAAATTTTTTTAAATTTAAAAATTTATAGATCTGATTTATAAAATCGGTGTAATCAAAGATGCTAATTTCAGTAATAGTAATGATTTTTCAACAATGATTTGTTGATTTGTTTTTTTAGTTTTTACAAAAAAGGATTTTGATGTTCTATGAATTTAATCGCGTTGTATATATATTTTTAATTAATATATAAAAAAAAATTGAGCTGCAGATGCAGTTGAAGCTGAAGTTAAAGTTGAAATTGAAGCTGAAGTTGCAACTGCAGAGCACTCCCAAAATTTTTAAATGAAAATTGGTTTTATTTATAATAAAAAAGAAAAACTTCATGGTTTGTTTAACAGATTATCATTGTACGTGATTACATACTCACTTTCTTGTGCTTGGTTCAATGCCTTTGGATGTTTTTTATCTTACAATCTTACATGATCCATGTGTGGTTATCTTTTCTTAACTATTTTTGTCTTATGATATTACACGATTCATATGATCATGATGTTTGATTAATTGTTATGACGATCAATTTAATTATAGAATCTGCGAAATTTGTAATAATTCTCATGAAGACATTGGCCCTGTGGAGATTTTATTTTTAAATATGTCATGAAACCCAAGGATTGGTTGCAGAATGGTTGGGTCTTTGATTGTTATAAATCTAAAAAAAAATTTGGTTCAATTGCACAAATTAATAGTAAGCAATGTCTTGGTATTATTAAATGCAGTGAACGTGAAGCTCAAACAAGACCACAAATCAAAGAGCATGGAAAAAATATTAAATGACAGTTACTAAAGGATGTTCAATTCAAACATGTGATGGTACATTAAAATTTAAATTTAATCATTAATTATTGATTCCTTTAACAATTAAATAATATCAATTGATAATAAAATTTTTAGGAACCTTGGAGTGGAAGAAATGTTCTGCTAAATGTAAATTTATATCCTTAGATATGCCTGATGAAAATGGGTATTCTTATTATCTTTTGCACATTGGGCACCATGAACTTCAACATTGCATTCAAAATAAACCATTTAACAATGAAAAAGAGCAATTACAAAAATGTGTTCACCCAGCACCAGAAACATTACCATGAAAACTTGTTGTTGGCCAACCTTTGGATGCAATCATCAATTATATTTTGTTCTGTTCATAATATATCAGAAGCTTATTAAACAGTGATTGTGTGGCTTACTATCATCAGAAGATAATTGATGATGAAAGTATTATAACAAAAACAGCTCATCAACATGGAAATAATTTTGTTATAGACTTGTTGCAATTTCAATCAGATCATCAAAGCTCTATTTGAAAAACAGATTTTACAAGCAAAGGTATAATCATACCACAGACAGATTGGATGCAACAACAAGCCTTTAACTGAGAATAATTTTT